AGCTCGTTCCATTGCTCTTTCAGCTACCGACAGCCGCTGTTCTTCTCTCTTCATCAATGCCCACGTTTCACTGCCATACAGCATGGTTGGCAGCACTGTTGAATTGAAGGTATTTGTACTTGTGGTCTTGTTGATTTTTCTTTTGAGGACGTCCTTGATGGAGTTAAACGCACACCATCCTGCCCAAATCCTTTGCGAGAGTTCTCTGTTCATGTCTTGGCGCATATTAACTTCTTGGCCCAAATATACGTACTGTTCCACTTCTTCAATTTCTTCTCCTGTTACCGTTATTTGGGCTTTTCATAAGATGTCTGATCGCATGTATTTTGTTTTGCAACGGTTCATTTTCAGACCGATCTGTTTTTCTTGTTGAGTCTTTGTAGCATGCTCTGCAGTTGCTTGGTGCTTTCAGCAATTAGTACAATGTCGTCCGTGAATCTGAGATGAGATAATCGTTCTCCATTTATATTAACACCACTCCTCTAATTGTTTCGGTGAAATCGTATCTCCTTGCTTTACGCCTTTCTTGATTGGGATGCGGAGGGGTGTTTCGAGGAGAGTAATGTCTGTTGTACATCCAGTATTCGCTTCCTTCAACAAATGGATGTACTGCGTATTAATGCCCTGCTCTGCGCCTTTAATATTGTGTTGAACTCGACGCTATCGAAGGCCTTTTCATAGTCGACAAAAGCAATACACAGCTTTTGTATTCCCTCGCTCTTTCTAGGAGGTGGCTAAAGATAAATATATGGTCGATCGTGCTGAAATTTCTTCCAAACCCTGCCTCCTCTCTCGGCTGTTGTTCATCCTGACTCTGCAAGAGTCAGTTCGTTATCACCCCTGTAAAGAGTTTAAAGATATGAGAGAGCAGGCATGTAGAGTGATAGTTCTTAAGATAAGAAGGGTAATGAAATTCTTAAAATTTCCTTTGGAAAGCAACTGATTCTACTCATACAACTAAGTAATTGTAACTATTTTCACCAGAAATACAGGGAATAAATTTGATATAAATCCTTTGTATGTCCTAGCTACATAAAATTGGTTGTGGTCTAAACATTTGTTACTGGAGTTTTAAAACATTTCACCTGCAAACAGTAAATTCAAATCCAGCCCAGAGTAATGGCACCTAAATGTAGATATTCTGATGACTGCAAAGTGAATTTTTTGGTTTCAGTCTATTTCCTATTGAACAAGCATACACATTACAAAAACCCACTACCCCAAATAACAGTAAGTTGTAACATTGCTCGCTGGAGGAGGAAGGCCAAGGATTGAGTGGGAAACAGGATGACCCCTCATTTCACTTTGGATATCAGATGTGTGACGAAACGTGAAACCCTGAACATTTTTGAATAGGCCACAAAGCCGATTTGAAACTTTAAGTGATCCCTTGATCATCAATAATACTTCGACTAAGGAAACTTTGAATGCTTCATATAACATCATGTGAGATAGGAAGCAGAGATATGTGGATTACTGTATGAAAAATGAGATTAACAAGTACTTGCCTGGGCTGTTACACTTGAATCTGCACACAGAATTTAAATCATTAGATTTCTTGTACAGCAAGCTGGATCCAATTAGTATGCTACATGCTCTTAAATTATACTTTGTATCTGGCAATGAATGGGACAGGGAGACTAATATAAAGAAATGATGTAGTACAAATTGTAATCATTATGAAAGCAGGTGAATTATGCTTGATAGAGAGAATAGGAAGGTACCCTGATACCTACAATAGGTCAAATAATGATTTAAAAAAAAAAAAAAATCACTGACATCCGTTATTTTTTAAACATATAAAATGCATAAGATGAGTGTCAGCACATATTTCTATAAAGGTAGCAAAAATAATTTATTTGGGCAGGTGGTCATTAAAAATATTCATTATCTAGGTGATTATATAAAGGAAGATGGAGAACAGATGCCACAGCCAAGTATCCCGTGGGATACAGAGGCATTACTCAGTAAGATTAGAATCACACCAGAACATGTGAATGGTAAACTTCATGGTAAAACAGGGCATCCATCCAAGACAAGTTTGAAGAACCTATTGAAACACATCATTATCAGTGGCTTGTAAATCTCTCTGGTATCAGGAATCCTTCAGCAGGCAGCTTCTGTCCACAGTAAGTTTTTTCCTTTAGGCATCCCACCATTATTTTCAGTGGGATAGCCTTAGCTGGAGTATCAAACATAAATAAGGTGCCAGCTTTTTCTCCACTATGTTCTCCCATGCTGCTTTAACCCATCTATGCATGTGCAACTGTGGTATGTAACCTATCATTTAAACCAGCCTCTGTACTAGATGGCTGGAGGACAGCTAATATAACACCAATTTTTTTTTTAAAAAAAAAGGGTCCTGAGGCAATTCTGGCAATTACAGACCAGTAAGCCTTATTTCAGTACTAGGCAAACTGGTTGAAACTCTAATAAAAAGCAGAATTATCAGACACATAATTGAACATGATTTGTTGGGGAAGAGTCAAGATGGATTCTATAAGGGGAAAATCATGCCTCATCAATCTATTAGAATTCTTTGAGGAGGTTAAACAAACATGTGAACAAGGGCGATCCACTGAGTATAGTGTACTTGGACTTTCAGAAAGCCTTTAACCAGCTCCCTCACCAAAGGCTCTTATCCCATCACTGCCTACTTGGATTAAGAGAGAAGATCCTCTAATGGATCAGTAACTGGTCAAAAGATAGGAAACAAAGGGTATGAATAAATGGTTAGTTTTCACAGTGAAGAGAAATAAATAGCGGTGGGACCAGTGCTGTTCAACATATTCATACGTAAAATGGAAAAAGGGGTAAATAGTGAGGTGGCAAAGTTTGCAGACAATACAGAATTACTTGAGAGTTAAGTCCAAAGCAAAGTGCAAAGAGTTACAAAGGGATCTCACAAAATTGGGTAACAAAATGGCAACTAAAATTTAATGTTGATGAATGCAAAGTAATGCACATGAAAAACATCATCCCAATTATACATACAAAATGATGGGGTCTAAATTAGCTATTACTATTCAAGAAAGCGATCTTGGAGGCTTCATGGATAGTTCAGTGAAAACATTCACTCAATGTGCAGCAGCAGTCAAAAAAGCTAACGTTAGGAAACATTAGGAATGGGATCAATAAGATGACAGTAAATATGCCATTCTATAAAACCATGGTACGACCTGCCCAGGAGTACTGCATGCAGTTCTGGTGACCCAATCTCAAAAAAAATATTAGAAATGGAAAAGGTACAGAGAAGGGCGACAAAAACAATTAGGCATATGAAATAACTTCCATATGAGGAAGGATTAAAGACTGGGGCTGTTCAACTTGGATAAGAGATGAGCAAGGTGGGATAAGATAGGTCTATAAAACCATGAAAGGCATGGAGTAAAAGATGCATGTACCCTAACTTCTTTTTATTTAAAGCAGTCTTTATTTCATCTCTCCTGCTCAATTATGAAACCTATAAGGCTTGTATTATTTTGTATACTGCTGAGAACAACACACACACACAAACCCCACTTCACAGAAAGTCATTCAGAAGTCCCTATATCCCTGCTAAATTAATAGTAAAACCGCCATATGTTAAAAATGTTAGGGGCTCGATAATCATGTGAAATTCTCCTGAATAACTTGCCCCTGTAGTGGCTTGAGTCTCAGTTTACCATAGTGGAGCAGTTTACCATTTGAATTAAATGAAACCAGTAAACGCCAAATGATTTTGCTTATGATTGAGGTGTAACATTGCTCAAGTTTGGTAATCAATTCCAGGCTCCCATCTAGATATGCTCATCTTGCAATTCATACACATAGACAAGGGTTCATTTCTGGATGAGTAACTAAGCAACATTTGAAACTTAATCCACACATGATCCAGATACTGAGTAATTTATATTCTCAGTAGATGCATCTGACCGCCCACCTTTTTGTTTCAGTTGTAAATTGTTCAGGTTTGTAATTTATTACATAGCTTAGGTTTGCTGTCTATTGAGTTGACTTGGTTACTAATTAAGTTTCCATTCAAGGGCAAGAATGAGTCAGCCATGACCTCTCTTCCCTTTTCATTTTTAAACACACATTCAAAGGTACCTTCCACCCCTCTGTAACAAGAAATCAATAGGGAGAAACCCAGATAAACCAAAGTATGGTCAATATGGTTACCTCACCCAGAGCAAATGCACCCAGCTGTCTTTTCTACTAGTGTTCCCACAACTGTAAATACTATGGAAAGGTAGTTACAGCTAAATAAAAGCCATTCCTAGAATGGATGTATGTCCCATTTACAAGTATGGCTAAGTCATGGATTTGTTGCAGAAAAGTAAAAAGTCAAAGTATCACAAACAGAGACGGCTGAACTGACTGGTTGAGTAGGCTTTTATGCTACACAAATAACCAATTCTACAAATAGGAAGCTCCACAAATGTTGAAAAGTAAGTATTATTTCCTGATATGCCAAGATCAAGTAGAGCATATAGCTTTTTAAAGAAGTGTTATTGTGTATGTAAGTTTCTGCATGACATTAGGGAGGAATGTTGGGCAACTCCTGCTTCCTTGCTTCACTCTGCCTTAATTGGATTAAATATATTCACTAATGCAGAAATATCTAAATCTTTCAATGTAATTGACCTACAACTCTTATAGAATACGATGGTAGAGATCAACCTTAGGACCCTAGAACAATGACCATGTGATTACTTTTCATCTGGTATAATGAGCTTAGAAAGACATCTGTACAACTGAAGTTTCAGTTTTTAGTTATTCTGAGCAACTCAAAAATCAAACTTGCTCATCACTCTCCCAGGCACAAAGGACACTAAGATATTGTGCAGTTGTTTTATGGCTTAATATCAATACTAAAACTCCATTTTATATTTGAAGCCAGCTTTATTATGCTGCATTTCCCCCCATTCTATTTCTAGGGGCATTATTTAATTGAACATTTCAGGTACATATTTGGGGTGGGAAGGTTCCCACACAAGTTTCAGAACTCAGAAATGGAATATGTTAAAGCATAAAACATAATATTTATTTTAGGATGTCAAAAGGAATTAAAAAATTAAGTTGTACTGTACAGTTCTAATAGTAGCAAAAATTAACCATTGGCACAAATGTAAGAAAGGTAAACATGTTTCAGTACAAAATAGTGTAGGAAACTTGAAAAAAAGTCACAGGAAATCAAGGTGGGGGAAAGTTTTCCAACAAACAGCAGCATTTTCTTCACATTTTCTACCATTTGTGCAAATGCAGCATTAAGAAAACACCTTTATTTACAAAACAGAGGTAAGGAGACAGAAATTAAAGCTCCACTTCCTTTCTTTTGTGACCTTTGCATCCTTCCAGATTCAGCAGTGTTCCATTGCCATAAAAAAAAGTGAGGTTTTGGTTAATCACAGAAGAGATCTGAGTGTTAAGCTCATGCAATAGTGCTAACATGCAACTCATGCTAGGGTTGTCAGCTTGTCAATTAAATCATCAACAGTGTACACAAGAAGTTTCATGTCATCCTTCTCATTCATTCGGTGCTGACCAACTTTGCGGAGGATCACATCCACATCTGTGCTGACAACACGATCTGCAATTTTCATGGATACCTGCCATGGGACATCTTCATCCTTCATGCCATGGATAAGTTTTATAGGGCAGGTTATAGGAATAGGATTGCTCAACAGACAGTGGTTTTCTGCTTCTTTAATGAACTCATATGACAAACAATAAAACCCTTCCTCGTTGTGTTTTGTTGGCAGCTTCCATTCACCCTTTTCTTCTATTTCTTTTTGGACCTGTTTAGAAAAGAAAAAGAATATTCCAGACAAATGCGATTCACTCTTATTAAACAAGGCAAGCAGACTCCTTGACTCTGTTTTCAGCACATTACTAAGAGCAAACAAAACAAACAAAAAAAACCCCAAACTCTTACAAACTTATCCTTACCAGTTGAAGTCAGGAGGCGGAAGAGGGGTGTATTTGACCCATTCCTGTAACCCCCCTGACATCTACAGGAGGGAAACACCCACAATGAGTCTCAGAAGCTGATCTGTACCTCCCTCCCACAAACTTCAGCTATTCAGGGCTCTCACACAGCAGGCCTCTCAGCCATGACCCAGCCAAAAGAGTCAGCAGCCCCCTACAACCCACAACTGGTTTTAGTCCTTGTGAAGTCAACCAAGGCTCGGAAGAGTTCACTAACTGTCAATGAGCGAAAGACTCATGGGGAATGGGGGTTTTTCACTCCTTGGCCTCCAAAGGCTTGTCATGAGCTCTCTCCTCTATCACACCTCAGGAGGTCCACAGAAAAGGAAAGGTGGAAATATTACCTGATCTGCTTTCCCCCAGCCAAAGACCCCTGCACCCTCCAATCTCAACTGACTTCCCTCAAGTCTTCAGAGGCTCAGGGCTTCATTCCTTTGGACCTCACAAAAGTCACCAAGGAAGGGAACCCGATGAAGACAGAGGGGTTACCAGTGGGGGGAGGGAGGAGACAATTTGAGGCCTTTCTTCCCTCCTGGGGAAATTCTTTGAGCATGCAGGAGTTAAGCCTCACAAAAAGAGACACAAAGCCCATCAAAACCAAACCCTCCCACCCAAAGTTTTTTGGTGGACATTCCCTCCCTCCACCCTTGAGATCAGGTTATATTATAAGGTATCACTAGCAAGAACCAAAAAGCTACTACACTAGAGTTCTGCACTCAGGTAAACACTTCAATAATTACTGTGTCAAATTTGAAGCCCAAATCCAGTTCATTTCAAATTATATAGAAAAATCCTACTTCAAGCCCAGATCTAACCTACCAAAATTTAAGTCAGGTTCAAATGGAAGTAGTTGTCACAACTGCATCTGTATTCCTACTCTGTGGTCCAGCAAGGACACCCATTTTAGGCTCCCAGACTCTCAGTTGTTACCTCTTCTGTTGAGAGACCCGTATCTCTCTTGGTCCTGACTGGGGTATTTCCAGGCTGCACAGCTCCCTGCCTACACTGTGAATTCCCCAGAAAGACAGACTACTTAAACAGGCTGTGCTTTGCTTTCTCAGAGGCTATAAACAGTGTAATTGCCACAGTTACAAGTTACCACACAGCTTTTTCCTAAACAGGCACATTTACTCTTAAGATAGAATCATAGAATCATAGAATATCAGGGTTGGAAGGGACCTCAGGAGGTCATCTAGTCCAACCCCCTGCTCAAAGCAGGACCAATTCCCAACTAAATCATCCCAGCCAGGGCTTTGAAAGCATTACAGAAGACCTATTAAAACAATAAAACCTACATGCAGGCTAATATGCGTACCAGAGATCACCTCCAACTCCAAGGAGGGCTCTGGTAAGCCATCAGTCCTTAAAACCCCACCAGAGGGTGTGTGGTTTCAAGTTCATACAAGCTTTTACTTCGAACAAGCACCCATAGGCATACACCTTTTTTTCACTTGGGTCTTCAGAGACCATGAATAGGTAATCAGTCAGACAATGGTTCTCCTCTCAGGGCATAGTTTCAAAAAGGTTGTGATGGGAACCTGCATTCATCTCCCTCCAGGTCCTTTCTAACAAACCCATTTAACTTGGTTTGTCCCAAAAGTTCCTTTTTGTCTGGCATATTGTTTGAAATAGTCCTTTGAAGCTCATTACACTTCTCCAGGGTTTACACTGGCCCCATCTCTTCCCCAAGAGATGTCACATACAATCCCAAAATAATACATCAACTTTGCATTCATGACACAAAGGATTCCAAAGCTATTTCAACGTAATGCAGTAAGATCTTCCAAAGATATTGCAGGAAACTGCCATATCTGTCACAGTAGTGTTGGTATATGAAGTTACTTTCTAGCCTTTGACATCGAATAGTTACACTTACCTCACTCTTTCCCTCCCCAACTCTTTGCTCAATCATCCTGCCTATCATTCAGACCCATATCCCAGAAGTCATTTGATTCAGACTTCTCTCTAGGTCCTCAGTCAGGCTCTCCCTTTAGATCTTCTTTGTGCACAACATCTTTAAAAAACAACCTTCTTATCCATCCATGAAGCTAAGCCTTATCCAAGCCCTAATCATCTCACGTCTCAATTACTGCAACATCCTTCCCTTTGGCCTTGACAAATGCCATTTTGCCCCATTCATATCCATTCAGAATGCTTCTTCAAATATCATTTTCTTAGTCTGCTGCTTGACCACATGCACCTCCCCTCCCCCGCAGTTCCCTTTTCTCTATCTTATCAAATATAAGCTACTTGTCTTCACTTTCAAGACTCTTCACTGCTTATTCCCACCCTACCTATCATCTCTCATTCACTATTGAAATGTCAATTCCTGCCTCTGATCAGTCCATGTTACCAGCCTCAATGGACCACTTGTTAAATTTTCAAACCAGCATCTTTTTGCTTTCTCCTATGCTGCTCCTCATATATGTGAGGTACTCCTGGTAAAAAGCGCAAAGCTACCTACCTCTTATCCCCTTTCATAACCCTCCTCAGAACTCTTTGTCATGATGCCTACAAAATCCTGACAACAGTTAGATTGCTGGTGTGATGAGACCACTGCCTATTATGCTGACGAATACTGTCTTTGTTCTCCATTCATCTGTATCTATCTGATGTCTCTTTTTCTTATACTTAGATTTTAAGTTGCTTGGGGCAGGTATCATCTTTTTGTTTTGTGCTTCTACTGTGCCTAACACAATGAGTCCCTGGTCCACAATTAAGGCTCCTATATACAGCGGTTGTAAGAAGTCTTCATTTTAACTAATTCTGACAATTTCACTCAGAAATTTCACTATTTTGCAGGCTGCTAACTCAACACCAACTCTTACAGTCCATTTAACCATAAGATACACAATGAAAAAATTTAATAACGGGATTTCACACCAGTAAGTTTTCAAAATTTGCAGAAACAGAACATTAAAAACCGTTAACATTTACCTCAAGGGGAAGTTGTTTAAAAGTTGTTACAAGATAGTCTGCAGCTGCAGCTACTCCAACTACAGCGGCCACCTTTTCTGGACGAGCTATTGCTGCATGAAGCATCAGCCATCCACCTAAGCTGGATCCCACTAGAATCTTAAAATAAGATTTGAAAAACAAAACACACAAAATGATTTTTTATTTAAAATTACCAATTTACTTTTTTTTTTTTAAAATCAAAATATTTTCAGTTTTGTTTAGCTACTTAAACCTGGGGCATAATCCTGCTACCCTTACCCCGCAGAACTGCTGTAATTTCCAATGGGAATTTTGCCTGAATAAGCATCACGAGATCTGGCATTTAACTACCGTTTTTTGTTCAGTGGGGCAGGTTATTGCTTTCTCAGACTGACCCACTGTAAACAAAACGAGAATTGAAATGTAGTTGAGCATCGAGTATTTTTATTTTTCCAGCTGTTGAAGTGCTTTAACATCTTTAAAGAAATGAGCATTGTAAAGGCTCATTAATAAAAGTCAGACAAACACACAAAACAAGTTTTAACACATTACAATACAGTAGTTCTAATATTCACTCTGAGCTATATTAGAAGTAATTACTTAGTAGAACTCCCTCTCATTAATTTAAACTGAGCAGTATGTAGTATTTGAAAGCGTCCATTGCAATGGTATCTATGCAATGGACAGCTTAACACTGACTTCTTGACTTTATTTTGTTTTGAACTAAAATGATTTCTCCCAAGTTGTTTCATTACCTAATCTAGTTTATTTTCCATTTAGTGCTGTTCTACAATGTTATTTCCATTGCTATTAGCTTGTTGATCAGCACCTCCATCCCTGTGTAAGGTACTTCGTGACTGATACTTTTTTGTTCCATTTGAAACAAGTCAAACTGGAAATGAGTACAAAGGTCGTTCTTTTCTTTTTTATAGAAGATCATTCACAAGGACCATTAAACTGTATTTCTGGCTATGTAATGCTTTAAATTGGGAGAACAGCTTATGCTATATTTAAAAATAAAATATAACCTGTGGTCCATCTGTGAGTTCATCTAGTACAGACAAAACATCCTTCCTCCACTTTCCAACCGTACACTCTTGAAGATTACCATCTGAACTTCCACATCCTGTATAATCAAATCTGCAAGTTAACAGTCAAGATAAAAATTTAATATTACTTACAAAACAAGCTGCAAACAAACAGTACCTACACAGAACAGGAACAATAATCTTCACTGTTCATCAGAATTAAACAATTGCAATAAAGGCAACATACCTCATAATCATGCAGGTTTTCAGAAATTTCAGTTAAGAGAGAAAGTTACCGTATATACTCGATCATAAGCCGGTTCGTTTATAAGCCGACTCCCCCCCCCAAGATGCATAAATAAAAATGGAAATTTTTTATAACCTGTTCATAAGCCGACCCTGTAATTCAGGGTTCAGCAAACTTTGGCTCCCGGGCCATGAGGATAAGCCGCTGGCGGGCCAAGATGGTTTGTTTACCTTGAGTGTCTGCAGGCACGGAGGTAAATCTAAGTAAACAAAAGTGTCCCGGCGCGCCAGCTGCTTACCCTGACGGGCCGAGACAGCAACTGGTGGGGAAATTCTTTTGGGGGGGAGAAACTGGGAGTCAGGGGAGTAACCCCTGTGACCACCCCCCACATGACCCCACCCCTAGCCTGGGACCCCCACACTTCCCTTCCCACCTTATCTGGGGAGGATGTCTCTGACCTGGCTGGAGCTGCTCCAGCAGGCTGGGCAGCGCGGTAGCAGCCTGCTCTGGCGGCGCGGCCGCAGCATGTTCCATCGGGCTGGGCCGGGCAGCGTGCTTTGGAGCCCGGGCGGCGTGGCCACAGCCTGCTCTGGGGGGCGGGGCCGAGCAGCACGGCTGCAGCCTGCCAGCCCCGGAGCTGTAGCTGCTTCGGAGGCTGGGAGGAGAGCAGCGTGGCCGGAAGCGGAGAGACTCTGGCACCCCCTCTTCCCTTCTGGCTCTGCTGGCTGTGCTGCCTCTCCTTGTTCCCTCTGTTGGGGGGGATGGGCTGTGTCCCACCTTTCCCTCTCTATACTCGTTCATAAGCCGACCCCTGTCTCTGGTGTTTCCCTTTTTTACTAAAAAAATTTGGCTTATGAACAAGTATATACGGTACTCTTGGATGTCAAATCATACATAGGGATTTGGGAGCAAGAGACAACTAGGAGATGCAGTGCACCCATGCACTAACTAGCTTTTTAAATCTGCAAATCCAAATTTAACTCAGACATATGGACAGGACTGTCCTTGAAGAACGAGTCAAAGACCTACATGATTTTTTCATTTTTAGATTTTCAAGTCAAGAGTCTCCTTCATATACTATACATGGTTCATAAATGTGTCGTCCAGTACTGAGACTGTACATCCTTATTACATTCTGTACCTTCTTAAATAATGTTTCATCTGTACTATGCAATTCATTTCATTAGGTATACTCCTCTAAACCCACTCAAGATACTTGACCAATAGACACTAATCTGCATTCATAAGAGTTAGCAGTTGAGTCATCACAAATAGCATTCTATAAGAGAGCTAAAACAAGTGCTCTGTCCTAAAGCCCAAATCCAGGGGCTCCAAGCAGGAGTCCACCAACACAGTGCCCCTTGCAGGATGGAGTTTAAGCATGCAGTAACTATTTAATTTATATGTATTAACCATAATATAAGTGATTTCCATTTTCAAAGATTTTTCATTTTTATGCTGATAATCTTACTATTTCATGAAGCATATCACTCAGGTTAGAACAGAGATAATTACAATTTTAATGAGTCATGCAAGTGTGTTGAAAAATTCATTTTACTGATTTAAATAACTTCTGCATAGAAAAGATGAACATATCTCAGATACAGATTGATGGTAACACCATCATAAGAGGCAGACATTATCTCTTATATTGCATGCTTTCAATCAGATGTCAAAATCTAACAGGCTGAAGCGGGGGAGGAATTTTCAGCATCCTAGTCGTATTTTCACAGAATTCCTCATTCCTGGCTGCCATACTATAATTCATGCTAGTTTCTCTAAACAATCTTCTTGACTGTACCTTACAAAGGCATGACCGAGAGATTTGCAGAAGTCCTGGAGTGCAACTGCTTTCTGCCCATTCATATTTGAATTAAGGCCTGGGAGGAAGACAACACCTGGGTTCTTGCCTTTTATCTTATTATAAGCTAGATTTGGACGATCAGGTCGACTAAGGAAACTGACTGATGCCTTCTGTCTGCAAGCTTTAAAAACACAAAAAAAGACATTTTATAAAGAAAATTATCATCAGAAATACTTAAGTACTTGAGGTAAGATACCAGAAAACATATTAGAAATCATCTTGAAACAAAATATTTTAGTTTAAGTAAAATACACAATCCCAACAGAGTTTTGAAATTATGTTCAATACTATCTATTAGTACAATTTCAAATCTTCTGGGACCACACAGCTATCTGGGTGAAAAAAGCAAGATGATATTCAAGTCATGCAATACTAACAGTTTCACTCTATAATCAGAAGCGTGGTTCACTAACCCTTGTCAGTTTTTAAAGGGTTTGCACACAACTGAATGTTACTGAATCTTGATTTGTTACTAATTTCATATTTCCTCAATAACTTTAGTTATCTGGTTAGTTTAAAGTTATTTATTTGTGCTTCCTTATTATTTGCCTCTCTGCTATTCTGAAGTAGTATGTTTTTCAAAATTAATCTTAAGAAGTGAAGTTTTTATTTACATGGTACCATAGGTGTGGAACAAGCTACAATCAAAGGCACCAATCCTCCATACAGAACTACAAACTCAGCCCATCTCCTGCCCAGAGTCCCACTGTAATCAATGTTAAACAGAATGGGGATAAGTTGGGAGGAGGTGAGACCAATGAAACAAGCTTTGGATTTTTTCACCATAAGAAAACCAATACATGGAAGTAACATTACTGTACTGAGAGCCCACCAGAAATTCAATAAATAAAAAGTTAGTCAAACTTTAGTAGTGCAACTAACATCATCGCAGTAATGCCAACTTAGTCTGGAGACTATTGCTAGTTATTTTGCTCCTTTTCAATTGATACTTCAATATTAATGGGGCAATCAGAAATTTGTATGTTAAAACAGTTTTTTTCCCCAAGACTCATAATTCCATCCTAAATTGCTGCTACTTATACAGTTTCAACAAGGAATAAATCTAACACATTTTTCTCTTTTTTCAGCTTACTAATAAGGAAACCCTAGAAGTCTTAGAATTTCACCTAGTGGAATCTTTGAACACCATGTTCTCAAGTTTCCCAATAAAAAAAGAAACAAAAACAAAAAACAAAAAACAACAAAAAAAAAATAAAAAAAAACAAAAAATCTGCCGGTGATTTAAAGGGCCCAGGCTCCCCGCAGCCCGGAGCTCTTTAAATCACCGCCGGAGCCCTGCCGCCCCTATTCCAATATAACGGGGTTGCAGCTATAACGCGGTAGGGATTTTTGGCTCCCCACGACCGCGTTATATCGGGGTAGAGGTGTATATTCAATTATTTCAGTTCAATGACTAGTTCCTTCAGAGTTAAAAATCTCTCTCTCTCTCAACCCGGAGTGGAAAAAACAGCAACACTTGTTTTCCTCTTTCAAACTATGCATAAAACTAATCGTAGATCTTCTTTTCTTACTAATTTTAAAACCTTGAAGGACATGTTGAGACCTGAAACAATAAGTTCAATTCACCAAATTTAAATAACACTTGCTTTGGTTAATAAACATATTCATTTTAAATTAAAACATGTTTTGATACTTTGTGATAAACTTTTTTCTTATCCAGCACATTTTATAGTAGTTTTATTTGATTAAATAAATTGTAAAATATTTTTGTGCATTTCTAATTGAATTTTTATCCAAATACAGCTTTACCCAAATCACAAGTGAAAAGTTAATCATCTAGTAAATAAGAAATACATCGTTCATCATTTTCTAACGTCATAAAGCTAAAAATTAACGAGTTCTATATAACTGCTTAAATGAGCGAATATAGATAGTGTGTCCTCGTGGTCAGCAAAAAAATATCAAGTTTAGTATAATGGCTATATTGAGGTGCAAGTCAATGTGTTTTAAAAGTTATCAACCAATGGAAAAAAAAACAATCTTTTTATATGAAAATAGATAAAATGTAAAAATATAAAAAAACTATTAAAATCAATGACTTAAATCAAGATTCTTGCTTGCTGATTTAAAGCACAATTAAGATCTGATTTAAAATCAATCCACCCTGCTTTAAGAAAAAAAATCATACAAACAGTTATAGAAACTCTTCAGGCAACATTGCTGCTTGCTCTGCTACAGCTGTATTTGGTATTTGAGTCTGGCAAGGCCTAAAGCTATCCTGTGATTTATGGCTCAATCATGAAATGATTAATTTGGCAAAAGCAGCTTTTAGACGTTGCTAGAAATATGACCACCTCTGCAAAGTCTGATCAACCATGAGAGTTTGGGCTGATGAGGTAAAAACTGTGATTAGGAGTTATTGTTTCATTATCTTTTCACATGTTATCTTGCTAGATATTTTTAGCAAAGGAGATCTATGGAAACCCTAGACATTCTCCTCTTTACCACCTGAGGTTCAGTAAAGGTCTTATTAAGCAAACTTACTTTTGTAAGTCTCCTCTGGACTCAGTTTCTTCAGTTCCAAAACCCCCTGTCACTACTAAATCATTTAATAACATCAATGGAGACACTCTCTCGTTATTATGCCAACACTAAAATGACAGTCACCTGTCTAGGCCGTTTACATTATTGATACAACAAAGATTGCCTGCATCATTTCCCCCCACTGGGCTTTTGATAGTGGCAGGTCTGCTTTGTGCGATCAGAAACCAAGTTTGACAGACTTTCTGAACTTATCAATGGCCAGAAAAAACGCTTGCTATGTATTAATACTACTACTTTTCAAGCTAGATCCTTGAAGTTGAGGGGTTTTATTTCAGTTAATGTGTATTACAACCTCATGCCTCTTCTTCTGGTTCCTCTAATGAATTGAGCATGCTCAATACTCGTCATTTTTCACATTCTCCTTTGTAATTTTAATATTCTGAGTCAGTAAAGAACAAAATTCAGATCCTTGGACTCCTTCGGAGCATTAAATTTTAAGCAGTGATAGCCAAGCACCAAATTTCAAATCCTTAAACCATTCTAGAACCAACAATGAGCTGCTTGTAATCAACTATTCCATCTCACGGCACCTTAGCTAAGTTATTTAAGTTAACCGTATCTAACTGAAATAACTGTTCAATTATGTCACTTAAGTACAAATGCTGACATACACAAAATGATGCTTAATTTCGAATTAAAAAAAAACTATACCCCTCTACTAGCAACACTGTAGTTAGACAACCAGCGTCTGAAAAGCAAGTTCAAGTACATTTATTGCTGTACAAAAACTTCAGTCAGAGACTGAAATCCATCACTTCTTTAAGAAGTTACAACAGCAGTGTTTTCTAGATTTAATTTCATAATTAATAAAATGAAGCTCAGAAAAGCTTCAATGAAAAGACAGACTTGCCACATGGGCTTTCTAAAAACTAAAGTCCTTTATCATAAAAATATTTCAGTATAAAGGGCTGGCTTTATATTAGAGAAAAATACTCAAGTGGTACAAACCCTCCCCCACGCCCAATGTTGAGAGATAGCACAGATGTACCAGTAAGTAAACAACAGTATGCTCCCATGAACTCACTGTCATTAGGCAATTTCAGTAAGTTGACAAATTTGCTGACTCAAAATGAAATGGTTATTTTTGGTGAAAATTTTACCAGATTAATCACACACACAAAGGCAAAGTTAGTTTCTGAAGAGTACACACCACTAACATCCTAAAAATCTTTTGAAGTCACTGTCATACTTAGAGGAATCAACTTCTTGTCAAACAATTTTAAACTCAGACTGAAGCCAGTCTTCCCCGTGAAGTCTCTTAATACAGTAGTTATTTTAATAACAATAAAACAATATTTTCAAGAGTCCCACTGCAGCTGGATAAAGCACCAATACTGTAGAAGATATTTCAATAAGCTTCTCCGTTTAGCAGAAAGAACCAATCCCAAACACAACAAGGAAAGTAACTGGTTGAGCTGCTGTTTAGAGGATGATCAAGCTACCAGTTAAATATAAAAGGCTTATGACTAATAGGGAAGGGAAAATTTCAACAGAGATTTAAAGCCAAATTTTCATGTTCTGTTCACTCAAAAGTGAGTGGAAACAAAAAACAAAACAAAAGTCCATTTTTAAGTTCAAGAAATGCATTCTAATAAAGGGAAAGCTCCCTAGGCCACAGGAATAGGTATATTCTAAAGGCAGCAGATTTACTCCTGATAGGAGAAGCTTCCTGTGCAGCTCTAACCCCTTCTGGTTATTACTGGACATGGCAATGTTGAGTGAAATGGGGCTGTAGCATGGAGACATGGGGCAGTTGCAAGAAACTCAAGGGTCCCTGCTCCAAAATGGTGATAAATCATGGACTCAACATTGTGTGTCTAGATCAGGGGTAGGCAACCTATGGCACACGTGCCGAAGGCGGCACACGAGCTGATTTTCAGTGGCACTCACTCTGCCTGGGTCCTGGACACTGGTCCAGGGGGCTCTGCATTTTAATTTAATTTTAAATGAAGCTTCTTAAACATTTTAAAAACCTTATTTACTTTACATACAACAATAGTTTCGTTATATATTAAAGACTTATAGAAAGAGACCTTCTAAAAACGTTAAAATGTATTACCGGCACGCGAAACCTTAAATTAGAGTGAATAAATGAAGACTCGGCACACCACTTCTGAAAGGTTGCCGACCCGATTGCAACAAAGATCAAAGATCATAGAATATCAGGGTTGGAAGAGACCTCAGGAGGTCATCTAGTCCAACCCCCTGCTCAAAGCAGGGCCAATCCCTGGACAGATTTTTGCCCCAGATCCCTAAATGGACCCTTCAAGGATTGAACTCACAACCCTGGGTTTAGCAGGCCAATGTTCAAACCACTGAGCTATGAAAAAAGTGATGAACAGTTAAGAACTGGGATCTGTTTTTGATACCATTTTATTAAACCATAATGACTCCATTACTAGGTATCCCAACCCTATATAATGGGAAGAACAGTTACTTTTCAGCAACTGCTGAAATACTGACACAAAGAAACTGGTTCAGGACTGAGCTTAATCCATAAAAGCAAGGAAACTGAGTGATCAGTTCCTCAATGTCATTTAAATGTAGTTCTCTAGT